GACTGAACTACATAGACAGATCCTGTCTCAAATGAACAAACAAATCTGAATATGGCTGCTTCTCCTCCTCCTTTTCTTTCTCTTCCTTCTCCTTCTCTTTTTCCTCCTCATCCATTTCATCCTTGTCCTCCTCTTCCTCCTTCTCCTCCTCCTTTTTCTTTTCTTTTTTGATGTTAGTATTGAGGATTCATCCCAGTACTGTCACACTGAGCTATACCCCTAGCTCTTCACTTATTTTTTTAATTATTATTTTAAAGGGAATAAAACAAAACAATAAAAGGAAACAAAATAATGAGAACAATACTGGACTTCTAAAACAAGACAGTAGGAAATCCACCATAGTTATTATGTTGCATATTGTTGTCCTCTAAATAGGTGCTCAGACTACAAGCATTAGGTTTGCAAAATCAATTAAACAATACAAGCATTAGATTCTTTCTACCACCTTAGCCTGTAATCCTTAGATGGTTTCTTTTTTTTTTTTTTTTTTTTTTTTAATTTTTATTTTTTTTAAATTTTTTTTTTTTTTGTCTTTTTCTTTTTTTATCGGTACCAGGGATCGAACTCGCGACTGCCTGCTTGCAAGGCAGGCGCTTATGCCGCTGAGCTAAATCCCCAGCCCCTTTAGATGGTTTCTTACGGGGGAGAGGAATCTTCTCTCCCTGCCTGTGAGAAATGGCTAATTTTGCATATTTTCTTTAAGTGGATATAGTTTTTTCTTTTTGTTACCAGGGATTGAACTCACAACCTCACACTTGCCAGGCAGGTGCTTATGTGACTGAACTAAATCCCCAGCCTATATTTTCTTAAGGGATAAATGGACACGTGGGGTTATCGGTACCACCCATTTGAGATTTCCCATAAACTCTTTAGGGATGGGCATTCCTCACCCACCAACCAAGACTAAAACTGAAACCAAAAAATCTAGAAAACACTCCAGGGGAAGATCCTTCTTAGCGAAGATCATATTTACCCTCTTGAGTCATCCCAGGATTGTTTGTCTGCTGAGTCACAGGCCTCTGAGTCTTCTGCCAGTTTTGAGTCTTTTGCTAGCCCTGATCACTGTAGATACCCAATAAATCGTGGCTGTCTGGAGTGTCAGGGCTTGGCCCATCTGGAGACATCGACTTCCCAGTCACTTATGTACTACTAAATTTGTCTTTGTTTCTTATTTATCCCATGGCCTTACCCTTAACACAGACAACTGGGGCTCTTGGCTGGATCCCCAATACTTCTCATTTTTCCTTTTTTTCTCATTTCTTTTCTCCCCCACCCCCATTTTCCTTTCCCATCTGAACATTTTCTTTGTATTTCAGAATATCTTCTTTGTCTTTTGAAAACCCAGTGTTCTGATTTTACCTTGTGCATTACATGCCTGAGACCTAGCATTGGCCATTCATCCAGGACTCTAATTTCTTTTAGTAGAAATTAGGGGTATTTTTTGAGGCAGTTCAGACTGTTCTGGAACTCACTATATACTCCAGGATTTCCTCAAACTCACAGCAATCTTCCTGCTTTAGCTTTTTGAGTGTTGGGATTATAAATGTTATAAATGTATTTCAAGATGCCCAGCTCAAGGATTTTTTTAAATGATTAAAAGGAGCTTTCTGCTTCCTTTTTCTGTCTCATTTTGTCTTTCCCTTTCTCTCACTCCCCTCATATCCTCTGCCCTGCTATTACCTCACATTCTAGGCTTCTTGTGACTGAGGGCTTTTATATTAGCATTTAAAATTGGGTGCTTCACGCATGAATACTTACTGCTTTCATTCACTCTTCTAGAGTAATGTTCATTGCATGACTACTTTCGTAAGGCTCTATTTTAGCTTTTCTGAAAATGGATAGTCAAAAAATTATCAGCAGTAGTTCAAATGGGATTTGGTAATTTTGACCATGACAGTATTATGGGAGAAGCAAATCAAGCTAGTAGGACTCCCTGAGAAGGGGCTCTTGAGCAAGGCTGCAAGGGAATGAACCACTAAGATCAGAGATTTAGGAAGGAGAGGCAGAAGCTTTTCCAAGAGGAGAGAAGACCTAGGTAGAAATACCTGGAAAGAAAGAAATAGAAGGGCATAAATCCTACATATATCTAGTCAGATTTCTTAGTACAAGACATATGCTAGCCTAGTTAAAAAACAAAACAAAACCTGAATCTAGTAATATAAAGACTGGTAGCCAAAGACCACACCATTATTCAATGATTGAAATAAAACACTTGCAAAGGAAGAAAGAGCCTATGCAATGGGAGAAAATATTTGTGAGTCAAATGTCTGATATATTCAGAGTACATAACAGCAACTTAATTATAAAATGGGCAAAGAATATCAATCGATATATCTCAGTAGAAGATATACAAATGGACACTAAACACATGATAAATGCTCAGTATCAAGTGAGTGAGGTGGCACATTCCTGTAATCCCTCTACTTGGGAAACTGAGGCAGAAATGCCTTGCATTCAAGGCCAGCCTGGGCTACACAGTAAGACCCTGTCTCAAAAAATAAAACAAACAAACAAAAAAAATGCTTAGAATCTTTAGGATAATGCAAATCAAAACCATAGTACTGTATTTAACACACTAACAAATCCAATAAAATAGCTATAATTCTTTTAAACAGAAAAAGTTAACTGAGTTACAATATGGAGAAACAAGAACCTTATGCATTACAGTCAAGACTGTCAGGGGCTAGGGATTTAGCTCAGCGACATAAGCGCCTGCCTTGCAAGCAAGCAGTCGTGAGTTTGATCCCCGGTACCGATAAAAAGGAAAAAGACAAAAAAAAAAAAAAAAAAAAAAAAAAGACTGTCAGATGGAACTGCTTTGGAAAACAGTTGGCCAGCTCCTCAGAAAGTAAAACAGTTCCCAGAGGACCTAGCAATTTACTCCTATGTAGCTACCCAAGCAAGATGAAAATTCACAAAAGCTGGTATAACCAGGGATTTAGCTCAGTGGTTTAAGTGCCTGCCAGGTAAGCCAAGGTCGAGTTCAATCCCCAGTACAAAAACAAAAAGCTAGTGTATAAATGCTCATCTCTGCCTGCCTACAAGTCATCAGAGGGACAATTTAAAAATAAAACTAGCTACATCATCTGTCAATTATATCACAGTCTCTCTGGGTATTTTGCACCACCAGTATGCTTCATGACCAGGCATGTGTGTATGCATTTTTATTCCCTGTGTGATAATGAAGGTACAGCTCACAATAGTATGGAATGTTACTTGACAATATGGATGTCAGAATATTCTGACAGTTGCTGTTTGAAAACTACTTATTCATGATACTCCAGAGGATGCCCACCCCATGCTTGTGCCTAGTAGTGCAGAACTGATATCTCTGTAAAGCTACACCTGTGTATACTGAACTTGTTTTAACACCTTTGCATGGTAGTGAACTGCATAATGGAATAGAATGCCAAGTGATAAGATGAACCAAAGAACACTTTTCAAAGATATTTTTATTAGGAAGCATGGTGGCACATGATTGTAATCTCATCACTCCAGGAGGTTGAGGTAGGAGGAACACAAATTCAAGGACAGCATAGGCAATTTAGTGAGACACTGTATTAAAATTTTAAAATATAGAAAAAAGGGTTGGGGATTAGCTCAGTGTGAAGACCTTGGATTTGCTCCTTATAAAAAAAATAAAAGTAAAAACAAAGAGCGAGAGAGGACAAGACAAAGTAAGTATTACTTCAGGGTTGTTTGTATATGTGTGAATAAGTGAACCTGGAGCTTTACCCATGCTAGTCAAGCACTATACCACTGACCTACATCCCAACCCCTACCTGAGACTTTAAATAAACATATGATGTATTTACAATGAAAGAATTATATGACTACATAATATATGTAAATATCTTCAAAACCTAAACTTGTAGAAATACCAACAGCATTACTTACAGTGATTTCATGATTTAATTATAATTTCCTTACAGCTGGATGTGGTTGACATACTCCTGTAATCCCAGTACTCAGAAGGTGGAGGCAGGAAGATCACAAGATTGAGGCCAACCTAAAGTACAGTTTTAGGGTTCTGTCTCAAAAAACAAAAATAACACAAATGAAGCAACCCCAAAACATGTTGTTTTCCTTGCAATGCTTATGGTCAAAGGAAATACATTTTATGACCTCCTTATCCATTTAACTCACTTCTTTATTAATGGATGGTGAGGTGGTGGTTTTATGAGCATGTATCATAAACATAACCCATCACTTGTTTTTGTTTTTTGGGGGGACTGCTCAAATTGACCTTGAACTCACTGTGTAGTCTAGACTGGCTTGGAATTTACAATGATTCTCCTGCCTCAGCTTCCTGAGTGCTGGGATTATGGTTAGGAACCACCATGCCTCTGCATATCAAACTAATGTCAAATTTCCCTTAGTGTCTTGTGAAGAGGGAAGAAATGCCAGTATATTTCTTGCAGACCTATTCCCTTTGCCCTGGCATGTTTGGGTTTCTGAGTTTTCCAGACTGAAAAATGTTTGGCTCAGAAAGCTTCAGCAGACTTGTCCACTGCTTGGTGCCCTCAGTGGCTCTAGGTGCTATGGGTACGGACTGCCCACAAAGCGCAAAACCACATCAATCTTGCTTCAGGAGGGGATGGCCTCGCCTCTCATCCTTTCCATCATGGTGATTCTGCATCGAAAGAAAGGAGGTTTGGACCAGGGTCACCAAGGATGACATTGTCCCACTGGGGCTTAGGGCACTATGAGCCTTCCATGGTGTGTAGCAGAGCCTACAGCTATCCTCACAAGGTTCAGTGGGGCCCACAAGCATCCTCTGCTTGCAGATAAGGTTCAAGCTTTTTACTGAGAATCTGTGGATGCCAGGAGTTGTCAAAAGGCACAGAGTTTCTTTTTTCATTTTTTTTTTTGTACTGGGGATCAAACTCCTGACCTTGTGCTTACCAGGCATGTACTTGAGCCACTGAGCTAAATTCCTGGCAAGGCTCCAGGTTTCTGCAGATGGCTGTGCAGTGGTGGCTGCGCTGGCAATCGCATCTTCAGGGCATCCCTTTCTGAGGGTCCCATTCTGCAATGAGAGCCTGGCGGTCCTTGTCCCACCACTGCAGGATGTAAGATAAATCAATTTGACCCAGGTCTGGAAGAGGTTGCTCCTTGTGTTCAGAGTGAGGCTGAGAGTGGTTCTTTCCCTGCAGGACTCCTGGGCCAATGTATCCTTTGTCATTTTGGGGCCTGAAGGCAGCCTGAGTGTCTGAGTAGTTCTCTCCTGGAGTCAGCAGTTTAATCAAGCTATCCATAAAAGCCAGAGATGGCTCAGAGCGCTCTCCTCCCTCCATAGCCTGGGTGGGCTTCATGTCTGTGACATTTGTTCCTTGGCTCTCACAGACCTGGAAGGGGTCCCAAAGCTCAGAGGACACGTGGGATGGAAGAGGATCCGGGGAAAATGTTTGGTGGCTGCAGAAGGAACTGGAGGGAAGAAAATGGGGATCTTCATTCAAGAACTCAAACAGGTTGTTGTGCTGCTGCTGAACAGGTGCGCCTGGTCTCTCATCTGTGCCATCTGCTGGGAGATCCAGCAGCTCTCTTATGCTCTGCTCAAGACACAGAGAATTCTGGTTCTGCAACCACATCTAAAGTGAGGAAAAGGAAGACATGGACACAACGAAACATAAGCAAGTCTAGTGGTTTCTTATGCTCTAAAAAGGGGGCTACAGGGGCTGGGGATTTAGCTCAGCGGCATAAGCGCCTGCCTTGGAAGCAGGCAGTCGTGAGTTCGATCCCTGGTACCGGTAAAAAGGAAAAAAGACAAAAAAAAAAAAAAAAAAAAAAAAAAAAAGGGGGCTACTGCCAGGTGCGATGGTACACATCTGTAATACTCGGAGGCTGAGACCTGAGGATCACAGGTTTGAGCCCAGCACGGGCAACTTAGCAGAAACCATTCTCAAAATAAAAAAATAAAAAAGGGCTGGGGATGTAGCTGTATGTGAAGGCAATGGGTTTAGTTCCCAGCACCACAAAAATAAGGAAGAGAAAGTGGGCTATTAGTGTAAAGTCCTCACAGTGTGCTTATACCACGTGATAAAAAATGGTGCTTAAATTTTTAAAAATGTATTGTAGTAAAAACTACTTTGTCATTCATCTCAAAAATACTCTTCACTTCAAACACACTTAGCCCATTAATTCTTGCTACTTTCTGAAGCAGCTGTGGAAGTCCTCTTTCCTGAGTGTCTTTAGCCATGCTATCCTGGCTGCCTTGTGTTCAAACTCAGTTTGAAATAGATACTTTTCATGGTCACTTTGACTTTGGTGAAGAGCCAGAAGTAACATGTGCCAGATCCAGTGAGGTGGGTGAGCACACACTGTCCTGTTCTTATGAGCCCGCCTCTCTGTCAAATGGCCTTGGACAGCAGCACTCACCATCAGGTATCTTAAAGAGGCTCATAAAACAGGGCTTCCAGAACTGCTTCAGAATGTGGTGAACAATGGGCTAAGTGTTGGAAGCGGGAGAGGATTTGGGGGAGCATTAATGGTAATGAGTCTTTAACCATCATAGATTTGGTTTTTCCTTCCATACTGCAGCCTGGCCCTGCCACAGACCCTGACCCTACTCTGCTTGCTTCTTACTCCTCTTTCAATGTAATAAATGTTTAAACTTAAGCATTCATCATATGTTTTGATCATCCCTTCTCTGTGTTTCATGTGAGATCTTGATTTCTTTGTGATCAAGGGTTAGTAAACACAATAAATGTTTTGGGAGTTTCTATGCTACAAAGACTATGACTCTACTTCCTATGTCATAAGCATTTCCATGGATGAAATCACTTCACCAAGGCATGATGTAGACCACGGGACAATTTTGTTCTTTAAGTGTTTTCCTTCTTTCTTTTTTTTTAATCGGTACCGGGGATCAAACTCATGACCGCCTGCTTGCAAGGCAGGTGCTTATGCCGCTGAGCTAAATCCCCAGCCCCTTGTTCTTTAAGTGGAGGACACTTGACGGTATAGATTTTTTGGCTGTCAAGAATGGGAGTAGGGGAGGTGAGCGTGAACTGTACTGGTACTTCATTGGCAGTAGCCCAGAGTGCTGAAAAGTGTTCTCCTATGCCCAGGACAGCTCCTCATAAAGAGAAATATCTTGCCCCCAAAGAAGCACTGCAAAGATGTTAGAAAACCTAACAGGCTTCTTAAAATAGGTATTAACTTTCAGGTTTCCCCACTTTTTTGCTGCTTGTAATTTGTGATTCTTTCTTCCTTTCTTTCCTTCCTTCCTTTCTTTCTTCACTCACAATGATCCTCCTGCCTCAGCCTCCTGAGTGCTGGAATTACAGGCACGTGCCACCATGCCCAGCCATTTTCTAAATGAATATATCTAATTTGGTTTGGAAAAATCTTCCTTTGCAGGAATATGATGTACAAGGTTGGGTATTGACCATCCCAGAATTCTTAAAATTTTCTTTTAGTCCGGGGGAATTGAATCCAGGGCCTTTAGAGTATTCTATATCCATACGTGTTTTTAAAATTTTGAGAGAGGGTCTTGCCAAGTTACTAAACTGCCCAGGCTGGGCTTGAACTTGTGTTCCTCCTGCCTCAGACTCTCAGAGTGGCAACTTAGTGTGCACTACCAGGCCTAGCTCTGCCCAGATTTCTGTCTTAATGATTGTGACAACCCAAGATAGCAGGAGTGAATGCACACCTCTGGGGCAATGTCACTTAACTGATAGGACAGATATCCTAGATGTTTTTGACAACGGGTCTCACTACACAGCTTAGGCTGCACATAATTTGCAATGCTCACGTCTCAACCTCCTGAGTCCCTTTTGGTGAAAAAACTGTTAATATTCTCAGCACACAAACTTTTTTGATAACATACTTCTGTTCAGTCACCATAATGGAAGCCATGAACCACTGCACTACTGAGGACCAAAAACAGTACAAGATAAAAGTAAACACAAAGACCATCCTTTTCTCCTGTTACATTTTTCCCCATGAGAGGTAAAACATGCAGATACCTTATCTAATTTTAAAGAGCCTTTTGGGAGGCCTAAGCAAGAGACCCTGACATTTGGAACTTTAGTTATGATACAAGTGTTTCTTAAAGATTAACAAAGAACAGGATCCCCTGGGAAATGTATTTCTAAGATAACTACACTTGCCAGCTCAGATCCTTCCCTTGCCCACATCTTTATTTCCTTATAAAAACCCCACTCTTGCTGGTGGTGGTGCATGCTTGTAGGCTGAAGCAGAGGAATTGCTAGGAGTTTGAGGCCAGCCTGGGCTACATATTGAGCTCAAAACCAGCCTGAACTACTTAGGGCTACTCTGTCTGAAAACAAAACAAAACAACACGGGCACGGTGGCACATGTCTGTAATTTCAGCACTAGGGAGACTGAGGCAGAGGATTGCCGAGTTTGAGGCAGGGTGGGCTACAAAATGAGTTCAAGGGCAGCCTGCACTGCATGGCAAGACCCTGTCTCAAAAAGACAAGACAAAACAAAACGAAACAAAAACAAGACAATGAAAACAAAACCCCACCAAACAAAAAGCAACCTGCTCTCATCCTGGGTGGGCAGTTCCTTTCTTGCAAGTTTGTCCACTGTCCCTCTTGAGAGCTTAGTTGGTTATCTAAATAAACTCTTGTCTTTCCTAAAGTCCTTGTCTATGGGTAAATTCCTTCACCACCTGCATCACCACCCTCTAGAAGTCCAGCTGGCACTGCATCCCTGAGTGCTGAGATTACGAGTGTGGTCAGCACCCAGGCTAATTTATTAGAATTCTGAATTCCCGGAACACCCACTTGTTCAGGCTGGTTATCCCAGGTTGCAGCAGCATCAGCGATTGGGCTCTTCTCAGAGGTGTGGTCCAGGATGTCTCTTTGAGTTATGAGGGCCATCAGATCTTGGCTGGCTTCTTTTAAGCATCCTAAAGATGAGCACAGGAACAAAAGGAGGTTTTTAGTCCAGTTTTCATATTCAAACTAAAGGTAAAACTGAACACTTTTACTCTCAGAAGCCCCAAGGGGACATGGAGGACACAGATGGGGGTGTGGGGTCACTGCTGCCGAGCAGCCACAAACCCCAAAGAACCAAAGCCTTTTTTGCTTGTTAAAGAACTTGCCTTTCCCAGCCAACTGTGGGATAGTGTACACATTCTTGACATTAGAGTGCCCAGAGCCATCTGTAACTTTGGCTCCTAAGCTAAGGAACCTTCATGGAGAATCTGGGTGCAACATGCAGTCATTTTTGCCGTCCCTCCCAGCAGCATTTAGAGCACTGGGCTCTCACCTTCAGCGCAGGGCTGGTCAAGGGGTTGATCTTTTCCTAAGGAGCGTCCAGATTTCAGTTTCGACCTCTGGTATCTAAACCAATTCTAAGTGGGAAAAGATGAGAAAGTAATGTAACTCAGTCTGTCATTCCATCTCTCAATCCAGTTAAACCAAACTGAATGGGCCAACTGCCCTTCACATCTAGGAATGGTGCTGCTGTTAGCCCATGATTCAGACCACAAACGGACTACACACAACTCAGATGAGCATTTGTCTTATGATCATTCTCAGGACATCCAAAGTGAATCTCTCTGTTCTTTTTTGTCCAGTAGGACTCTAATGTTGAAATGCCTTTTATTGGCACCATCATAACTTCAAAGGAAACAACATAATACATGTGGAACTGATCATAAAGGGACGTCGTTAAATAAGATGGCAGGGGGCTGGGGATTTAGCATAAGCACCTGCCTTGCAAGCGTGTGGTCGTGAGTTCGATCTCCGGTACAGATAAAAATAAAATAAAATAAAATAAAATAAAATAAATAGGATGGCAGTAGTAGATGCACTAAAAATCTGATTAACAGTCATCAAAAAAGAACTTAAAAATTAGATTTTTTTTTTCCCTTTAGAGACAAGTAACTTCTCCAAACTTCCGCAGGCCTGGGAGATAAATTACTATCTCTACTTCTCAGCTCAGAGGACTGACCGAATCAGAAGTGCTAGTAACAGGAGGTCAGAGTCCAGTTTCATTTCCAGAGGGAAGGGAGGGAAGACAGGTGGGGTCCAGGAGGGGCTTAACTGAGCCTGGGCAGGTCTATTGTCTTACAGTTTTGAATAAATCCTTTTAGCAAAATAAATGGCTATCTTTGATACGGTTAGCAATGAGCAAAAGAACCTACATATAAACCTAAGTGGCCAGTAATGCAACCATCTGAAATCTTTGCTTATTTCCTCATTCCTGGAGTGGGAGCTTCAACATACTTTCTCGAGTGTTTCATTTAGATAATTTGATAATTCCTGAAAAGATTCAGGATGTTAATGACAACCAGCACCTGATGAACAACTCTTAAATCTTATGCATTGTGCGGTAAGTCCTTATGTCTTCTCTAAATTAATTACTTAAAGTATTTTCAATTAGATCTTAAACACAACAGAAATAGAAAATTAATGAATAGATTAGTAAACACTATGGGAGAGCTAATTGCATCCTAAATCGTCTCCTCGACTTGCTGTCCTTGCTGTTAGTTCAAGTGGGCCCAATACCTCTCAAAACTGATCACCAGACATTCCTATAGGATGTACTTTCATTAGAGAGATGAAATAATTTTTCCCCATCCAGTTCAGGTTCATAGATAAGTAAAATAGTT